CAAGGAACTAGATAATAATGATGACGAAGAGAGACGTGATGACGATGATGAAGTTGACAACACTGAGCATGATAATAGGAATAGCGATGATGATGATGAGGAGGAGGATGAAACTGAGGAACGTATTGATGTCAGTGGTGAAGATGGTATCGATGAACAAGGTAACAGCGATGCTGAGGAGGTGGAGGAGGATGAAAAAGACGATACTCAAGCAAAGCCAAGCCCTACTGAAGCTTTTACTCATGAGGTAGACGACTCGGATGAACCTGGACAGTCTGATGATCCACCAGCAGAAGTTACCGAGGGGCAGATTCCAGGGCAGCAGCAATCCAGTGAAGAGGAGGTGGAGGACGAAGAGGAGGAGGAGGAGGCGAAGAGTGATAACGAACCTATTCAGACTACAGTGGAAGAAGAAGATATCGTGTCGGCGGCAAATGCTGAGATTGGTACTGCTGTACTTTCCGGTAAGAATCCACAGGGCGATGATTATGATGACAAAGAGGATGCGAATGGTAGAAAGGATGCTGTCAGTGGTGCACCTGTTGAGAAGGGGCGCACGGTTACTAGTAGACATGCGAACCCAACAGTTGAAGAGGTTTCGGATAGCGATGAACCTCCAGAGTTTGTTGCCGATGAAGAGGACAATGAGTTGGAATGGGACGTGGAGGACTTTGATCTTCCCAAAAAGAAAAGCTCAAAGACTACCTCTAAGGTTGACAAAGAGGGCTTAGAGGTTGATAAACTTAAAAAATCCTTCTTGGACACCCTTAAGAGTGAAGCAGAGCAGAAAAAAGTTGTGGAAACCGAACCAAAGAAAAAAGAAAAGCCCAGTAAAGGCTTGAATGCGAAAAACTTCCAAGTTGTAGAAGAGAAGAAACCGGGAAAGGATTCCTCAAGAAATGCACCTGCGCGGCAAGTTAAAAATGCTCCTGGCTCCGCCAGGAGAGCAACAAAAGATAGCCCGCCTAAACCCGAGCCTGTGAAATTGGGAAAGACAAGTGTTAAAGACGAAGTTGAAAATACGTCAAAACATTTAGCAAATTCTAAACCTATCGATAGTACTGCTAAACCTTTGAAAGCCAAGTCTAAAGCGGTTGAAGATGTCAGCTTGGACAAAACGGAAAAACGTAAGACTGGAAAGCAAAGAAAAGATGGCAAACAAAATTCGACAATGTCCGAAGTGCAATCTTCGGAAATGAAAGCTGCGGTAAAACCTGTTAAGGCGAAATCTGCATCATCTTCTTCGCTTCCAACTGGTGATATTGATCAGCAGAGAACTCAAACAGCTTTACCAGCAAAGGAAAAGAAAAAGAAAAGAGCAAGTACAGAGTTGGCAAAGGATTTGCAATCGCACAAGAAAGAAACAGACTCTGTTGTTGAGCAAAAGCGAACAGAATCAAGGAAGCCACGAACAAGCGATAGCGATACAGTGTCAGATTCTTCAGCAAGGCAAAGAACACAGAAAACAAGCTCTACGGCATCAGTTGCAAAGCAAAAGAAATCAAATGCAGCTGTTTTGAAAGCTGACAAGGAAAGAGCTAAGGCCGGTGACAGTAGCGAATTAAGACAATCCAAACCTAAACGAACTGCTCCTAAGGCTATTGTTAATCAAGCAAGACACGAAGATGACCGTAATTTCGAGAATAAAAGACACAGCGGTGTTCTCGAGAAAAGTGTGCCGGAGGCAAAGACGAAGTCTCGAGTTAGACCCACAAGCAATGGACATCTGTCTAGTTCACAAGAAAAGCTTTTATCCCAGTCTGTTCAACGTGAGCGAGGAGCAAAAGAACGTGACACTCACAGACACGGAGGCCCTGCTCATGGGCATCACCACGCCCACGATAGAAGCAAACACGTGTGGCTGTGTAGAGATGATGAAATTCATAAGCTCATAGCACAAAAGGCATCCTTACTTAAGGAATATGAATCAGGAAGCTTGGCTGGCAGAAAAGTCTGTAAGTAACTACGGTAGTAATGCTGAGGAAAATGTTCCTGGTGTTTAATGACCACTTCTCATGCGCCACCGATCCATAGCCGACACCACAGACGAAACTAAACTTCTGGTTAAAGTGCCTATAACCTAAAATTTTATATTTTCTTATCTGAAACTACACTTTATTAAAATAACTTCTGCGAAAAAATTTTGCGATTTGAACCAAAGACGATTTTTTTTTAATTTTTTTAAAAGCGTTCAAATTTGCCGCCATTTTGGCACACCATTCGTCTTAGTCTTCTCTCGGAGTATGACGTTATATGACGTACTTTAAGGAACACGTGACTTTATCGACAGGAAAACATTAACAGTTCTGGTAGGTTTTTCTGTTCCAGAAAAACTTTCTTCTTGCGAAGACATTGTGATTCAATCCTTACTTGTAATTGATCTTTCTTGTGTACAGCTGATGAAGGCGAGTTCCTTAATTTACGTCACATGACGTCATATGTGAGCCTGCTAGTTTGCGTGACCATCGTCGCGGGTGTACCGCAAAAATGTAGACTTCAAAAATTGGTTAAAAAATCGCGTTTTGTTCAACCGCAAAATTTTTTTCGCAGAAGTTATTTTAATAAGGTATAGTTTCCGATAAGAAAATAAAAAAATTTAGGTGATGGCACTTTAAGTCTGTGGATCAATTTAGGTTCCTAGGAAACTGCCCACCTACCCCTCCCCTAAGTCATCAGTTTGCCCTAAGTGAGAAGTAAGTGAGAAGTAAGTGTTAATTTAGGTTTCTGGGAAACTGCCCACCTACCCCTCCCCTAAGCTAACATTAACACTTACTTCTCTTCTCTTTGGCTCTTTGGCTCTGTTCTCATATCGGAACAGTATCCTAGGTGGTATCAGCGGCTAGGTCGCAGGTGGATTTGCTATGAGAACGAAGCTTCAAATTGGCCTCATTTCTTATCAGCCAGATTATAAGTAAAAGTGTTGTTTGTTGAAATCGGAGATAAGTAGATTGACTAGGAAGTTGGAAAACTGTTTTAAGTGTATTAAAAAATTGTCAAAAATTGTCCATATGAAAAGAAAATTGGCACCTATAAAAAGCAGTGATGAATAGCCGTAGTTGTCTCCAAGCGCCCGTTGTTCAAAGTCTGGATAGAGCTTCACCCCGGATAAATCGGCACTAAATCCAGCGGATAAGTACCGGTATTAGAGTTAGAAATGGCGTTATCTAATGAATAGTGATTTATCCAGTGAATAGCACTATCCATCTTTTGAACAACTGGGGCCAAGAGACGAATTTATTATAACAGCACACATTACAGCCATTTTACTACTGCAGTAGCAATGCGACCTTCGACCATAATCTGAAGTTCTTCATAAAACTCTAAATTGGGTTTTAAGTTTCAGGTCACAAAAGCCGTTACAAAAGAGAAGAGGATCTAGCTGATCTCCCGGATGTTGGGTTCATAAGTAGCAAAGAGGCCAGGAGGCATCAGTCTCGGCCTCTGAGCGAGGCTATCCCAGTAATTTTTTTAAAAGCGTTCAAATTTGCCGCCATTTTGGCACACCATTCGTCTTAGTCTTCTCTCGGAGTATGACGTTATATGACGTACTTTAAGGAACACGTGACTTTATTGACAGGAAAACATTAACAGTTCTGATAGGTTTTTCTGTTTCGGAAAAACTTTCTTCTTGCGAAGACATTGTGATTCAATCCTTACTTGTAATTGATCTTTCTTGTGTACAGCTGATGAAAGCGAGTTCCTTAATTTACGTCACATGACGTCATATGTGAGCCTGCTAGTTTGCGTGACCAGCGTCGCGGGTGTACCGCAAAAATGTAGACTTCAAAAATTGGTTAAAAAATCGCGTTTTGTTCAACCGCAAAATTTTTTCGCAGAAGTTATTTTAATAAGGTATAGTTTCCGATAAGAAAATAAAAAATTTTCGGTGATGGCACTTTAAGTCTGTGGATCAATTTAGGTTCCTAGGAAACTGCCCACCTACCCCTCCCCTAAGTCATCAGTTTGCCCTAAGTGAGAAGTAAGTGAGAAATAAGTGTTAATTTAGGTTTCTGGGAAACAGAGACGGAATCCTTGTTGTAGGCCCCCACCTGTGTACCAGGATTTGAGTACGCGCCATGATTGGCTTGTTGAAAAATACCATTGTCGAATGGCCAATCAGGTTGAAGGGAGATTCGAAGCGCATTTCCGGTAATTCGTTGAGTCCTTTGGGGGCCCAGACAACAAGGATATAGGTGCCGCTTCGTAGACTTTACCTACACGGGGCTAGATTACGTCTACGACGCAGGCTAAGGATCCACCATCGGTATGATAACGTACGCCGCCTTGAGCAAGAAACAACGCAGGTCTCAACCGCCGGCATAACTGCGAAGTTGAGCTCGAGTTAAGTTTGCAGGCGTGCCGGCGGTAAAGACTGGGATGGCTCTTTGGCTCTTTGGCTCTGTTCTCATATCGGAACAGTATCCTAGGTGGTATCAGCGGCTAGGTCGCAGGTGGATTTGCTATGAGAACGAGGCTTCAAATTGGGCCTCATTTCTTATCAGCCAGATTATAAGTAAAAGTCTTGTTTGTTGAAATCGGAGATAAGTAGATTGACTAGGAAGTTGGAAAACTGTTTTAAGTGTATTAAAAAATTGTCAAAAATTGTCCATATGAAAAGAAAATTGGCACCTATAAAAGCAGTGATGAATAGCCGTAGTTGTCTCCAAGCGCCCGTTGTTCAAAGACTGGATAGAGCTTCACCCCGGATAAATCGGCACTAAATCCAGCGGATAAGTACCGGTATTAGAGTTAGAAATGGCGGTATCTAATGAATAGTGATTTATCCAGTGAATAGCACTATCCATCATTTGAACAACTGGGGCCAAGAGACGAATTTATTATAACAGCACACATTACAGCCATTTTACTACTGCAGTAGCAATGCGACCTTCGAACATAATCTGAAGTTCTTCATAAAACTCTAAATTGCGTTTTAAGTTTCAGGTCACAAAAGCCGTTACAAAAGAGAAGAGGATCTAGCTGATCTCCCGGATGTTGGGTTCATAAGTAGCAAAGAGGCCAGGAGGCATCAGTCTCGGCCTCTGAGCGAGGCTATCCCAGACAGGGCTCCATACAGCTCACAGCGCAAAGATAAGCGACGCTCACTTCAACTCCGATACTCTGGCTCCTCTTCAGATGACGACGAGAGAACAAACAGAGCTGTTGGGTCAAAAAGAGGTGGCACTTTTGCAGTGGGTTTAGCCGCAAGAAACATTGATCATAAAGATGTGGGCGGTGGAGAGAGTGAGTCAGATCACGAGGAGACTTGTGAGTACTGCGCGGCAGAGAAGGTGAGTTAACACCTCTGAACTCATTCACAGGAGTGTTAGACCCAGTCCAAACGTCAAACTTTTCTTGTACCGAACTTATACTTGTTTGGGTCGACCCAAATGTTACAAGTTCGACGGTTGATTCAGACGTTGAACTTAATTACTCAGACTCAATTCATTTTTACCATGTACCAGTTAAAATAAATTGTATTTTTCAATGTGTTTGGTTCGGCACGTGAAGAGTTCGACGTTTGAAACTAAGTCGCTTCACAATCGAAATTTCCATGTGGGCCACTCGAACGTAATTCATGGGTCGACCCAAATTAGGTATTAGTCGGACTTAATTGTTCAAACAACGATCTTTTCATGTACTTAATTGAACGGATTAGGTTAGGTACATGAAAGGTTCGACGTTTGAACTTGGCCCCAGGTAGCCTTCAGCGCGGGCGTCTTCTGGGTGGCGCACGAGCACTTCATTTTGCTCGGGTCAATAAGATGTGATGTGCTAGTCTACGGAGACAGGGGAGGGGGCGAGTGTATTTCCTCCCTCCGCCTCCCTTACTAGGCACTTCGTTCTCTCAGTCTTGCGTTCACTCTGTTGATCGTTGTCTTTACTCTCCACGATTTTTAATACTCGACTTTCGAAATAAAAATTGGCGAGCATACTCTGGTCAGCGGTGTTTCGCCTAAAAGCCAGGTCTGCTCTATAAATCTTCGGGACACGTAACAGTATTTTTGAATTTGTGGACGAAATCTTCACACGAGTGAAGTGACATAGCCTTAAAGACATTTCCAATTTCCAAAATAAACTTTTTTGATACCCCTGTGCGTTCTAAAAACTGGCGTATTTTTTAGATTAAAGCTCTTTTTTTCGCGTTTTTATTGACTTCGTCTCGGTCCATAGATACATGTAGGCAAAAATGAACTTGGCCAATATCCAGCTAACTTGACCTCACGTTTGGTTAATAACGTATATTTATAGTTAAATTTTTTAACTTGAGGTTACTTCCAGCTTTGCTTCTAATCTAAGATGCTTGCTGATTGAGATAATTCGTGTTTGTTAGTCGAGTTTGCTTCCCCTAACACTTCACACAATCGGCTCTTGTGCTAACAAAAAAACTCCCATAACTCGTCAATTCTTGGAAGCAAGCGCGCTCTTTACTGTTCAGCTTTCCCTTGCTTAGCTTAGCGTTGATATTGTTCTTTTTCTTCCTTCACTTTATCTGGTTTCGTATCCGCTTTCTCTGCTATAAATTGTAAGATGTCGTGGGACGAGTACGTGAAGAACTGTAAACAGGCAGTGACTCACAGACAGCAGCAGCATCAACAACCGCCGCAGCTAGATGATGGTCCGCGCACTTTACCTCTTCAGTTGCCGCTGCAATCTTTCCGCTTGCCTGGACCGTCTCTCGATGATCCTGTAAGTCTTTTTCTGCCCTCGCGTTACTCCAATCTACGATGCTTTACAGCTCAACAGGCATTCAGACGTTTTCGCTTTTATATCAGCAGATTAAGCTTCTATGCTTGTTAGTTCATTGAAAGAGCACTCGACGTTGAAGTCCGTCCAAAAAAAAATTGGTTTGCGACCTGTTTCTCTTTCCTATTTTAGCCGTAAATTTCATACACTCTTCACTGACGGTTTTGCCCTTCTTTGCGCTCGTATTCATTGATCCATTTTGAATACACTTGACTCGTACTCGCGTAGATTCGTCAACTCTACTTTAATCATAGTCATGATGTCCTCTCAACTTTCATTTAACTAATGAATTAATGACTTGTTTATTGACACCTTTTGCTGCTTAGAGCTAACGCAGATACAGGCCAGTTATATAAACAATACATAATTAGGACACTAAGCGGTAGCGTATTTTACAGTTACAAAATTCGCGAAACGATCAGTATTCGATAGTAAGTTGGTAAATGGTCGATTTGAACGTGTACAGTAAGCCGAAGATGAGTGAAGTGCGCTTGTTTTTATCAAAAATTGTGGGAGCGAGAGGGTGGCTTTAGGCAAGAAGTTTCCACGGGCTTACTGCGTTATGAATTTTTTCTCTATTTTTCGGTGTAGGTAAAGTAGTATCAATTCCACGCAAGAATGTTTTTTTTTTTACCAGGAAACGATCCATCCCCTCCCCTCAAAAATTGGTCCCACTGCGGGGGAGTAGTGCCTTCTGGGAGATCCGTCCGCCATTTTGTCTTTTTTCGACATAGACGCGACTTACCGTTAAGTTCCTGAAGTAACGACCCTCCGAAAGTAGCGACCCTTCGAAAGTAGCGATAAAGTTTCAATGGGTACGTTTTATCTTTTTTTTTTTCAAAAAGTCCTCCTTTCGTCTGTGAATACCCACACCGTAATCAAACAATTCTTTTGAATATTTATTTAAAAAGCAATAACATGAAATAAGTTTCTCCAAGTAAAAAGTATGGATCTTTCCACAATTTTCGCGAAATTATATGGCTCGTACGACCCACGTACGATACATGTTTTAGCTACCCGTAAGTGGCGACCTCCTGAAAGTAGCGACCCTCCGAAAGTAGCGATAGGAAAAGGCTGCTAACTCCGAAACTCGTTACTTTCGGAACTTTATCTTAGTTCAGTTTTGATTGGGTATTGCCACAGTGATACCAATAAAGACCCCCACTATAACTAATTAGCTACCTGACATTAGTTTCCATACGCTAAGAGCCTGCTCACAGCTTAAAGAAACACCTCATCGTATTCCAGCTCCGGAGCGAGTTTACGAAGTTGCGAGTTTGTTGATCGTTGTCTTGGTATACGTGTTGACGGGGTCTAAATAAATGCCGCCAGATTCTTACTCTAACGGGCAGGTTGCTCGGAACACCCGGCCTGATTTTGCATTTTTTATAAATCATGTAATCTTGGTCGATTTTTGTCGCCTAAAGAATTAACGAACCAAATCGAAAAATGCACGTTAATCGATTATTTCCTAAAAGCAAGCGAGTTATCTTTAAACCGCGTTCTCTTTTTAGCATCTGTAATATTTGCCTGTCTTTTTAGCGTTTACCTCTTTGAAAAAGGGACGATTAGCGCCTGAATGAGATTTTCCTGCAAATGGAACTTTTTTTCTACATAAGTGCTGGCAGAATAAGCTATTAATCAAGCGAATCTTCAGTTTGAATGTAACATATTTTATATTCAAACCTTTCTGTCAAGTTAATTGCGGACACAGCTAATGCAGTTGTAAATTCGGAGTCTGTGGATGAAATCCTGCAGCGTGACCATTCAAATGAAAGCTCTTCGGAAGCGCTTTCGCATCCGTGACACTTTTTTTTTTCCACAATCTTCGAAAAGAATTTTTTGATTTGTCTCAAGTTTTGGTTTAAGCGCTCTTGGGAATGAAAGGGTCAAATGAAACAGGTTAATTATTTTGGCTGGGGATATGTTTTATTGGTACAATTCAGAGATAAATAATTCACCCAAAACCACTGCTGTGATGTAATATATGGATACGAGTTAACTCTGTCAACAATGAGGAAAGACTTATTTCAATAGGGGAAAAATTCGATCTCCAAAATTTTCAACTGCGATACTTTTATTTGTTTTAATTATGGGGCAGTTGACCATGGTTATTTGAACTTCTAATTCACCATTAGCGTCCTTTTTTCTGACATTTTTCACCGAACACTTAATGTATCTTCATCAAACTTGTATTCTTGACGACTTGCATGATTTTGTATGTTTTTTCGTTCAGTTTGTTGTTTATAATATATGAGTGTGATATTTACTTTCGGTGCTACAATTCTCACTGATGTCATTCTAATTTTTAAAAGATCAAAACCCTTAACATTAATTTACAGAACTAACATTTCTTTTTTTTCTAGGCTGCTGCCGCCGCCAAGGCCCGAGAGAAAAATCCAGGTACGAGTAATCGTTGAATTAAATTTTTGTTTATTCTTTCAAAGAAGTTTTGTTCTGCGCTCAGACATTCGCATAACAAAAACCCTTGTGGGCTAAATTAATGTGTAAGCGAAGTCAGAACGTTCTTGTATTTTTTCTAGAGTTTTTTGTTTTTATTTATATAGAAAAAGCGCGAAAATATAGCATTGTTTTTGCGAAATTAAAAGAATTTAATAAGTTCTTATTTCTTTTACGAGCGCTACTTAGTTCGCGAGCGTTAGAATCGTTTGTTATGTGAGCTTCTTAAGGAAGAATACGATGATATCTCGAGCGACACCCTAAATTGCCAATTTTGTGTTAATTTTGAACTAAATGCTTTCACGGCGGCTTTTCAGTTCACTTTTGGCTGTTTTGTCCAGTTTTAAAAACCAGGCTAAATTACGTCTGCGTTTCCACAAGCATTGGCTAAATCCGCGAACTCCCAGAGAGCAGTTTCGTGTCGAGCTGAAATTTGTGCGGTCGACGTCGTAATTGTCTGCGGACACTCTTCTAATTAATACACAGCAGCGATCGGTTTTTTCTTGTAGCGCTGGTTAAAGCACAGGGAGCCCACACAATAAATGTGTGTGTAATCGATTGTTATTTTATTGTAAATGTACTGGATATTGGAACAGTCAAAGGCAAACTCAAAATCGCTAAAAAACCGCTTTTGAGGCAAAAGGACGACGATATAGCACAGGTAAAGTAATTTAACGTTTATTAAACATTGTTAGCGATATATCGTTATAGGTGAAGCGAACGGTAAATCCAGTACATTTACTGTAAAATAACAGTCGGTTACACACACAGACACTGTGTGAGGGCCCTGTGGTTAAAGATCTGAGAGGCGAAGTAATGAGGGCGTTTAATGTTTCTTCGAATAAGCTTATTCGCTGCTTTTTAATTTCTCAGGCTTCTGATTTGCTTCTTTAAAAAATCCCATTTGCTCGTTTGCGTAAAATTGACATTGGACGTTGTAATACACCGATTCTAGTACGAGACGGAAGTTGCATTCTATCAGGGTTATCTGGAATCTCCGGCGACCGGCGAATATTGCCGTCTCAATCGCAATCTTTCTCCCAGGGTTCTCTTCTTCCCGTCTAGGAGAGAACCCTGGGAATGAGGTTGGTTCAGTCGTCATATAATCGACGGCTACTCACAGAAATAATAGATCGGTCGTCTTGGTTTCGCAACACTTTGTGGGACAAAAACAAACATATGGCAACCACCAACAGCACACTGTGAGGTTAAAAAAAGTTTATAATGTGTTTTATCAAATGGCGACGAGTGAAATCCAATTTTACGAGTATGGCGTATGTGTACCTATTAATATCATAGGTGACAAATTACACTCACAATCTTGAGTTTTGCCTCTTTCATTCTATCGAAAACACCACGCACTAAAAAGTTTAAGGCATACAGCTGTTTCGAGTAAAAGAAAGTGCACGCGACAATCCTGAAAGGCATTGTGGGTGGCTTCGAGTTTGCTGTTCTTCAAAGAAATTTGAAAGCATGGCAGGAGAGGCCATGGACGTATGTTTTCGAGTGCTAAAGGAAAGCAACAAAAGTAGTTTCGACAGCTACAGTGTCAGGAACAGTGTATTGAGCATATCCCATATTACCTTTCGGGATTGTCGCGGGCACATTTTTTCCGACAACCTCGCAAAATATGTAAGGTTCACAGTTTTCGGCATTATCGTAAAAGTTTATCCTTTTTGCTTTTTGAGTTTTCCTCTTTTGTGTGTTTAGGTTTTCTGCAGCGTGCCGTGACATCTTTGTTCGTAACATCTTTAAAGCTGGACGCCATCTCGGCACTGACATTTAAGAAGCGTTGCCATAGTAAATTTGTAATTTAGCATGTGACCTCGATTGGCTCCTTATTTTGATCAAGGATAGGGTAGACAACAACAACAACACTTTATTTCACCCCATAATATACAAGAAATAACATTTTATAACAATAGTACAGACGATGATAGGGGCGCTGGCTGCCCGAAATAACCTAAGAGTTAAAAATGCCAGGCAGCCAGTTGAAAGAAAAGATGTTTAAATGTTTAGGTCAGGGACACAAGAACAAAGAAAACAGAGAAACACACACAAATAGTTAAGTAAACTACCAGTATATAAAGAGACTAAAATTCATACATTGCAAAACAGTATTATTTCCATTTTAAAGTTACCCAGACTAATAGACGATCGGTTGATGAAGGGCTTATGTCACACTTTTGGTTATACCGTCGGTTGCATCTAAGCGTGGACACGAGACAAAAAATCATGTTCTAATAGGCTGCCAGACATGACGTGTTTTGCCTCCAAACATTTGAAGTTTGACAGCCGTTAAAGCCGCCCGCTGTCGCGCCAAAGGTACGTTGTTCATATGTTTTTGATCAGCGAGTTTCGCTCCGCCGGATATTTCATTTTTCTCAACTTTTAGGCCTATTTCTCGCTCAGAAACAGCACACTTGCCTCCAGAAATTATTCTTAACCCATGATTTTTCCTCACGTGCACACGCTTCGATGCAACCGACGGTATTTTTCAAAAAGCTAAAAGGTGTATTCGCATCAACTGAATTCCAAAAATAATGGGCCAGTTTTGATCTTTAAGACTATATGAAGGCATTGAAATTGTTTCCGATCGTATGTTGCTACGGATGGCAAGGATGGACATGGATTAAAATTTGAAAAGAAAGTAGGGCATTTTTTTCAAGTTTTAATGCTATGCCTACAAAGCAAGAGACTATAAAGGGGACAGAGAGAGCATCCCCCATATACACCCTATTCCATAGGTAATTCGTCTCGAGTTATTTTTAACACCACAGATCTCAAGGGGGATTAGACAACAGCCAATCACATAGCGCGAATGTGTTCCGCGTGGATGGCCCACGTTGAGAGCCACGCGTCCTTCACGAAATGACGCAGAACAAAATGGGGGAAGACGCGGAGAGCGATTTTGCTATTCCTTTTGTCGACGAAAACGACTACAGCGAGATTTCTGCGAAAGCTGTGTCAGCGAAACCAAAATTAAAAAAGAATCGCCCTTCCTCTCTTGTATAGAGCTAACAGTAGAGCAGGGAAATCCTTAACACACTGAATATTCTCTCAGGATCATTTATAATTTACAGTTTGAAGAGAGCAATTTCCGGTTTGATGTTTATTTTTTTCAGTCTTTATAGCGATTATTCCTACCCACTTACTTTGTCAATTGTAGGCGAACCCTCCTAAAACTGAATTTCAAGGGACTATATTCAAGCTCAGAAAGAGAAATAAAATTTCGTCGTTGCTTATTTACGTCCTCCATAAAACGCGAAATTAAGCATTTTCGCGTCGTAGTCGTGCAAAAACGGGAAAGAAATGAACAACAAAGTGTGTTGCACGTGCGAAGTTGTTGTTTTGCTAATTAAACCTATTGTTTTTTTGACGTTCTAGTTGTCGTCCGCGTCATTGGATCTTAAACTCCCTAATTGTACAAACGACCGGTTTCAATAGACCGGCGAAATTTCTCATTTTATTAAAGCACTGAGGTTACGACAACTTCGAGTTAAACTGATTTCACGGGTTGTCAAAGAGTCCAGCGATTCCTTTTTCCTAGGTGAGAGCCGACTCATTTCGCTTCAATATTCAGGAATGCTCTCGATCTTTTTACGCTTTCATTGCCTCTCGCCCGACATGTTTTGCACGGCGTTTGGTCATGCGAAACCTCCACGAAACATCCACGCCTCGCGCGAGGTAACTTTATCCTTCTATTCTAAAAATAACTCGAGACGAATTACCTATGGAATAGGGTGTATATGGGGGATGCCCTCTCTGTCCCCTTTATAGTCTCTTGCTATAAAGTTCTTCAAATTATTATGGTTAGTGGCCTCTAAGAAGTTTGTGTGTTATCTTCTTCAACTCTACAGGAGCATTTAGTGTGTGGGTAAAGACACTAGATAATTGACAGAAAACAGCAATATCCTGGTGACTTACCCCCTTTAAGCATTGTAGAGACGCAGAGACGGTATGGGAATTAGCGGCAGCATCTGTACAAGAGGGCCAAGCGAAACGGTAGTTAAGGTTCAAACAAGGCCCATAAAACTCTCACGCAAATATTTTCAATGTGGCATACGTTTACCGAGTCCTTTCTTCATTACAGTGCTTTGTTTTTAAAACTTGTCCAAACAGAATGCTGCAAATTGTCCTCAAATGAATGCCTATCAACCATGTTTATAGTTTAATTTTTTGTCGTACCTATTTTGTCGAAGTGGTGTTTTTTTTACGTTTAATTGTTATAAGAAAAAGAAAAACATTTGCAATATTAATAATAAAAGATATTCATTTTGTTGAAATGTTGACTTTTCAACATTTCATAAAAACATCGGCAAAAAATGATAGCAAAAGAGATTTATGTCTGAGGGGCTAATTCTCATCTTTCCGCGATAGTATAACAAGAGATAGCCCAGTTTTCGAGATTGCAATGTTAAAAATTTAAACCAAAAAGTGGATATTACCGCAGTTGAAAATATGTAATTGGTGTTTCTGATTTTATTTACGGCAACGAAGCTATTCAGTTTAAATAAATATTTATCCCTTTTCATGCAGTCAGCATAAACTATTAAAAGGCTTTTACATGAGTTTAATTAAGATTACATGTGGGTGAGACGCAATTCAGAGCTTTTTTACGCTGTGTATTGTATAATATGAAGCGAAAATAGTTTTCTGTTATTAAATATTCCCCCTCGTCGCGTCAGTGAATGTGAATTGACAAACAAAATTAAAAGAATTGCTTGTTTGTTAGTATTCTTTATTTATTCTAGGTTTTCTTATAGCGATTCAATCAACATGCAAGATGTTTTTTCAGTCTTTTTCTGGTCTCATTTAAAACAGACAACGTTCGCCTAAACTGATTTTTCAAACGTTTTAAGTGGTTGGATTTTTAGTTTTCATTTTCGATTTCCTCGTGTATGAAACCTTCTTAACAACAGTCACACAAAAAAGTGCGAGTGGATTGCTAAAAACTAGAAAAACAATTAAATTGGCAACTGCTCCTTCATTTTGCAACGCAATAAATATGTTAAATGAGAACATTTCAACGGGCTGCCGGTCTTTTTAAGCGATATTACGCTAAAGGCTGTATCAATTAGTGGTATTTCCCTTGTTTTCCTGCTGTTTTGTTTCAGGAAAGCGTTGTAAAATTACTTTGGATGCCTGTAGCTATAAACATGAGGTGTATTTTTAACCTTCGACAGCTGACTGTTAGCTTGTGCCACTGCATCCGCGAACGTAAATTTCTTACGTAGTTCTGTCTACGAGTTTTTATATTTTTTCACGCATTTTGTTCATAAATTTTTAATTAGCTGTAGACCGTGGGCGCCCCTGTCAGATCCAGTCTGTCATATATTATTATAAAACTGGTCGGACCATAACAGACACTCCTCACTTCACTCTCTTTGCCTTTACGTGAAGTTTAGTTGTGTGCTTTTCGGCGCGCTTTCATGTACGCGCGAGTCCTTCGTGGCACGCCTGACCGTTTGCGCGGGAAAAAGTAGAAAGCCCCACGCTTGGATTCTAATGACGGGCCTTTAATACGCGAAATGGTTTCCGATGTGTGCGAGTTAAACATTCCGGAAGTGAAACTGTTCTTCCGATTCTGCGAGCACAGAGATAGCGATGTCCTGCCAGTGGGTATGAAGTTTGCGAAAGCTATCTTTTCAACTTCTGCTACTCAATTTGTGATCCACAATTGATGCGATAAAACTGATTTGCTATCCGGCTCTGTCTGCTTGGAAGGCGAGCTGCAAGCGAGTTTGGCAACAGCTGCTGTGAAAGTCTTTTTAAGTGCTAAAGCTTAGCTTAGTTTTCCTTTTTTTTTTGTTTTTTTTTCAGCTTGGGAAGGACCTCACCATCCTCGAAATCTACTATTGGGAGTTGTGTACACTTCAAAGGTAAGCCAAGGTTATTTTTTGAAGTAGAAATGATCTAACAATGACGGATTTTGTGGTTTGCGGGTGTCGATAAGTCGAGTATAGTTACAAATTTCACCCTCATTTAGTGTCAAACTCAAATTTAGGTTTTCCACCAAGATAACTTGATAACGACACAACTATGTTTGGTCACGTTTCCTCTTTTTTTTTATTTTCAAATTCAGCTGAAAATTATTAATTTTTGAGTCAAAAAGTTGCTCAGAGAGAGGTCACAAATTACTGCGAAGATATTTATTATGACAATGTGACACGCTGATAGTCGCAAATTGGAATATGTTTTTGGGCTGAAATTTGGCGTTTATTATCAAATATTCACTCCTAGTTTATTGGATGATTCACGTAGGATTTGGCGTTCATTTACGTTGTGCACGATTGAAAATCTTTTGTATCCTTCTTGTTTTCGTTGGATAGCAATCATCTCTCCTTTCCAAATTTGCATTCGAAAGGTCCGCTATTGTGTTCACCGACAGGTCAATTTCCAAACAATCAACAATCGGAAAAGTTCCTTTCTTTCCGTCATTATCATACCTCCGCGATTGTATAAAAGTCCCATCTCGTGTGGAATCACCACAAGTCGACAATGTCTCCGCTCGCTGTTTACAGAGCGATTAATGTTTCCAACGAGGGTGATAAGTATGCCTATAAAGTAATTCTAAGATCAGGTTATATAAATTTAAGAATAACAAACAAGATTAATGCAATTCTTCCACGCTTAAAATTAAAAAAGAGGTTGTGAATATGGGTGATATTTGACTGCTAATTGTAGAAATAAATCAGTTAGCTTGGAAGATGATATTCCTGCCGTGCACTCGCTATAATATACTGCATTTAAGTTATAATTATTTTTAGCGGTAATAGTTTCATTGTTTCTTAAAAGTTCGGGAAAGAGCTCCTCGCCGGCTTTTTATAATAATTCTTAGCAAACGATTCTTTTTCTTTCACAAAAGCCAGGTGGTCCTTCATCAGTGATTTTCTTTAAGTCTAACTTAGACTAACTTAGTCTTACTTAGCATTGAATGCCTTATGTGGAATTCAGTTTAACCATCTCAGCCGTGTCCGTTACGTCGCAGCGGTAAGAACGCCTTTTTTAGAGCAGATGTTTAACATATTTGTGGCGTATTATGACTATTCTAACGTTCTGAGTCATCGAGTCAGCATTTTGAAGGTCATTGAAAATCAGTTGTCTGGATTTTTTCGAGTTCGGATACTTTTCTTTGCCCTACCAAACCGACCTTATTTTGTCTCTCTCAACCCCTCCCCCCCCTCCCCCCGCTCTTCCCAAGACTGAGGCGCACCTAACGCATCTGACTTGATGATTTTTCCGGTTTCATTATATTTTTGTTAGTACCTTGGTTCATCCCAAATCATGTCGCCGCAGTCGCCAAATAAAGCTGTGCGGATGGAACAAGCTCAGGAGGCCGTGGGACGAATTAAGGCAAGAGAAGGAATTCATTTGAACTGTTAATTTAAAGTCGTTATCACTGACTTTAGTTCCCTTGGGGTACTTGGGTTTATGTTTGCTGGGTATGTGCCGCTGGCCTCCCAGAGCCCCCACCCCATTATAGTCTATTTTTTGGCCAATTATAGACCCCATCTTAGTCACTTTTTGGAAAATGTAATTTTCGCGATCCCAACTTAGTCTTTTTCTATTTATGCATCTACCTTATCAATGTGGTTTCAAGCGGCGGAATGTAATGCGGTCAATGCGATCTTATTGTTAAATTTAATAAACAACCACTTTCTGATTTTTTGACAGAGAATCTTCCCATTTTGAAACCCTACTTACCCCAAAAACCCGAAAATTTGCGACCCCATTCTAGTAAATCTATTGAAAATGCGACCCCATTATAGTCACTCCAGTCATGAAAATGCGACCCCATCCAGCGGCACATCCCTATTACCCTCTTGTAAGGGAGTACCCCCCCCCCCCCGGGCTTTAGTTCCTTCAAACCAACCCTAAAACGTTCCTTAATATACTGTTTCCTTGCCCTGGCGAAATTGCGACAAACCCTTTTAGTAACCCATTTGGTCCCCCGCTTTTTTTTTCCGGCAATATGGACCTTACGCAACAGGGAGGTAGACCATAGAAGCGGGCAAAACCTTAGGTNGTCAGCAAGGTGACAGGAACCGCCGTCTCTCCCCCCCCCCCCCCCCCCCCCCCCCCCCCCCCCCCCCCACCCCCCCCCCCCACCGCCCCCCCCCTCCCCCCGCGGCGGGCGGGGGCGCACCCCCCGCCGGCCGCTGGCGGTCGGTTTCCCGCCCACCCCCCGCGTACCCTAACCAACACAAGAGCAAACACAAAGAGGAAGCCCCCCAACACCACACCCCACGCCCCACGACACACAACACAACCCAACCACACCGCCAATTTCTGTGTGGCCGTTTTCTTTTTTTTCCGTGCCGAAGGGGGGCGGGACCCCCCTCCCCCCCCCCCCCCCCCCCTCCCCTTTAAACGGGTGGCCACAACACGCTTTACTGTTTTCCAGGTGCCGGAGGGTGAGGATCAACCTACCACGGATGTGGATCTGTTCATTTCCACGGAGAGACTCAAAGTAGTCAACACTTCAACAAAGGTCAGTGTAGTAACGCGCAGAATCCCACTAAATCGCGCACAACGCAGGAATAACGCCAGTAACGCTAACACGCAGAATTGCAGTATTCTGTCTGCAGTTGATAATTTTAGACTCGAGAAGTTATCATCAGAGTCAAATTGACACAAGTTGTCGAAGTGTGACTCTGTTACTATTACCAACAGCCCCGTTCACGACTACACTCGCTCTGACGATCATATTCATTTTCATTTTGGACTCGACTCCAGGGTTTAAAAGGCACACATCGTAATTTACCCACTTTTAGTACTGTGTAGTAAGTTAACTTATAGGCGGCAATGTCTAAAGCTCATAGGAAAAGCACATTCCAATACCACCACGTTTTAAAAATCGCAATTCTCCTTGTTCTCCGCAGGAGGTGATGTTAGACCACGCCCTACGTACCGTCTCTTTTATCGCTGATATCGGCGATGTCCTGGTTATAATGGCTCGGCAACCCCCTGAGGAACAAAGCAACCAGGTGCCGTTGAAACCTTCACAGATTCTGGCCAGTGTCGGTACAGCACAGACTGATCACAAGAACATCAAGATAACCTGCCATGTTTTTCAGTCACCAGAGGTTTGTCAATCTCTTCGGTTTAGTTCTTTATAAACCGGTTTTTTTTTTACGCTCAACTCCCTTGGAAATTTGTCGTGACTTTCTTGCGACCTTTCCCACACCAGTTCCCTGACAGACGTTTAATTACGGTGCCTTCGTTGATTTACATTTCATTTCCGTTGGAACTTTGAAGCTGCTCGAATGAAGCTTGCAGCTATTTTCGGAATCTGAATCTATACCACGTCAGCCACGGTTGCTAATGTTTGAGTGCATTCGAAATTTTTCATAAAGAAAACACGAAGGAGATAAACGTTTAATGAGTTTCTAAATGTATTAAAAATACGGCTGAATGTTAAGCTCCCACTTTCTCGGAGAAAAAAGGATCAAAGATTATTTTAAAAGTGAATAGCAGAGAAGCCGTTCAATAAACTCGCAATTCTTTTTTTATCGCGTCTAAAAGACTAAGCTCGTATTTTCAGCTTGATAAGAAACTCGTACTCTTTTTCCTTATTATACCATACACAGTGCTTTACCAATCGATTTTAGAATATATTTAATTTATTCTTAATCCGAAATAACACGATCCGATTCAATTTTTGACTGGGACCAGTGAGCAAAAATCCATTAGCACCACTGGAAAGAACGCCCTGATATCTAAAATCAGTACATTTGCCAAGTTTTAGAGCGAATTATTAAAAACCAACGAAGATAAAGCTTCGCAAAGTCGCGCAATTTTACAGACGTTTGTATAGTTGGGACTTGTAAAAGTTATATTAAATTTACCCCTGGTCTTTTTTAAAACTTGAAATAAACCGTGAAAGGGTCAATTGTGCTAGTCGGTGAACTGTGTTAGAAAAAGGAAATACCTTAAAGTTTCTTTTCTCTTTGTTTTAGGCGCAGGTGATAGCTAAGAGTATCGGCCAAGCGTTCAACGTGGCTTATCAAGAGTTTCTTAGACAGAATGGTTTGTCAGAAGACGTTGTAGAGGACGCCGAGTACAATGGCGTGTTAGAAGCACAGAAAATACTCGGCGAAGATCTGTCGTTATTGGCTGATGAAAATAGCGCTAAAGAAGTAAGTCAATTAACTTCACTTGAGTTACAATTCGATTCTCTTAACCGAATGTAAACATGGTGTCTCTTGGAATAGTGAATTATAACTTAAGTATTATTGTAAGGTATGAGTACACAGCCTCTGCATGTGTAGAACTTTTCTGTGGTACAGTTTGCGAGCCCATTGACCAGTAAATTCCTGTGGTAACGTCTATCGTGCGATTTAATGTGGTTTCAAATCTTTGCGACCATTTAAATCAAAGCTGTTATACGGCTGCTTAGCGTTTTGTGAACGGTTTTGTTGTTGAGTGACGTTTCATAGTGCCTCACCGTCGACCTGTTTGATTAAATGGAATTCATCTATTTATCATTTTTTATATTCTTTGCTTCTTCTTTTTTTTTCTTTATAGAAAAATAGACCCTTCTTACGTGCTTTTCTTTTACCTTTCTATTTTTTATAGGTAATAGTTAATAAAAAACCCCATGAACACCTTGGTGTGATGATCGTGGAGTCAGGCTGGGGATCCATGATACCTTGCGCCATTATCGCTCATCTGGCAAAAGATGGACCAGCAGCTAAGTCTGGCAGGCTCAATGTTGGTGACCAGATCCTTTCGGTCAACGGTACAAGTTTAGTCGGACTCCCTCTACTGGAATGTCAAAATATCATTAAGGTATGCGGAGATGTTATCGCATAGAGAAGCACTGCTGTAGTGGTTATTACGACCGATCAGCTTGCTTTTACAACGTGACCACGTTTTCCCTTTACCTGTCGTTTACTGTTCAATATGGTTGTTTCTGAAACTCCGGTTGGAGAGTTAATGGAACGCGACTTTTTGGGTCGTTTCAGTGGAAACATTTCCTTGAGCAATGGAACGTCTGAAGAGGTAGTCTTGTTTTCTCGATCGGAATGCTCAAAACGGAAAATATTGGTGTTCCATTTCTTCAAAGCCTTCTTTGATACCAATTTCAGGCTTTTTTCTGTATATGGCACTGATTTGCACAATTGGTAAACGCGATTCCGGAATGAAATTTTCCGGTCGTGAATTTTGCCTACTATCTGCCCAAACCGTGAACCGACCGGAATACCCATTAAGTGGTAAACAACCTATATCTTAAAAACAGCGTGACAGGTCAATGCAATTTGTTCGGCTTGGTAAATAATAGATATGTTCCTGTGTTTGAGCGCGTACTTTTCGAAGTATCCATGTAGAACCTTTTCCGAATCAAAAGAGATTGCTATCTTTCGTTTCAGGGTATCCGACCAACCACAAAGGTGGTGATGAAAATCGTGTCATGTCCTCCAACTGTACAAGTGGTGGTCAACAGACCGGACACAAAGTATCAATTAGGATTCAGCGTGCAAAATGGAATGGTAATTCTGTTTTTTCATTTACAGTACCCCTTATACAAACGACAACGTGTTACTAGAGAGTGTATCGCCTCCTGTCTTCCTGTATGGAATCATCCGGATGAGAGGAACTTCCCTTTTGTAAGGAAAACAAAATAAGCGGTTTTGCCCTTGTTTTTGAAACCGCGGCATGATTAGCTCAGTCGGTAGAACGCTTGACTGCAGAGTGGGAGGTCGCGGCTTCGATTTCAGGGACCGGACCAATACTCATGGTGTTAAAATGACTGAGAAATGAAAGTGCTGCCTTTGCCCTGCAAATGGCTAGACCTTCCCGTGGTTCGGATGACCATGTAAAGTGGCGGTTCCGTCTCCAGTAGGAGAAGTAAAAATAGGTACCCAATTAGTACTTTCGTGCTAAATACATTGACACTAAAAAAAGTGCATTTTTTTTAAAATTTCCCAAATGGTTCAGGCGTCTAGTGCGTTTGCTGTATGAGCATCCGGCGCTATTATCCCTCAACTTACGTTCCCCTGGTTTTAAAGGACGGTACAGGCTCGAAAAGGATTGTAACTAAGTGTTCACTGTTTAAGGGCGCTTTCCAAAAGTCAGAACTGGCCGTCCAGACCATGGCTGGGGCAGCATTTTGACAATGAAATAGGCTTTTCCCAACAGTTGTTGCTGAAAAACCATCTCCTTCGTGCATAGTATTTAGGATTTGACGGATCTGGTTGGATAGTTTTGATTAGAAGTAAAATTCTCATTACTACGGGAATGGTCTGGCCGGTCAGTTCTGACAAATGGAAAGCGCCCTAAGACTTTCATGTCGTTTTTTCTATAGATTTGTAGTCTCATGCGCGGTAGCATAGCTGAGAGAGGTGGAGTTCGAGTGGGACATAGGATTATAGAGATCAACAATGAAAGTGTTGTAGCCACGACGCACCAACATATAGTAGAGCTTCTGGCTACTACAGTGGGGGAAGTGAGTATTCATCCTGTCTCTCATGTGCTCCTACGTTTTTGTTTGAATGTTTGTTTTTTGCCTTAAAAGCGCTTGCCTATCATGTTACTGCAGGTGCCTATCACATGATATTGCACGTGCTTGTCACATGTTATTACACTTGCTTATCACATGGTATTGAAGTTGCCGCGGGCGTGCTTTTCAAGCGTTGAAGACGTTAGTCTGTTGACAGTCCTCTATTTTTCCTTTAGATCGATTCCGACGATCTTAAGGGAAAATAGGGGACTGAGTATTTGACACTCATCCCCAGGCCAGAATAGGTATCTTTCAAACCAAGATGACCGCTCGTATGAGTAGTTGTTCGATCCCGACGATCTTACGGCTGGAACAATAGGGGACTGTGAACAACCATGAATACGTTCTCATTGCCTTATGGTTATTTCAGTGTGGTTTATTCATTTGTTGTTTTCATGGACGTTACTTCAAGGGAAGTTGTTTAGTTATACCAATTACTTGCTATGAGACTTGACTTAAGCTAAGACATTAGTCTAAACGATACATTCACATCTTCAGAACAAAGAAATATCAAAGTAACATGGTAAAGATATGAGGAACCGCTTTTTTTCAGATTCGCATGAAGACAATGCCTGCGTCGATGTACCGTCTTCTAGTTGGTTTGGAAGCTCCCCAGCACATTTGAGGTGATTAGAGAGAGGATTCATTCTACAAGTACAAGACCTTGTCGCCATTGAAGACTCTGACTCTGTTAAATAGAAAACGTTTATCACGCAGTCGCGGATACTTTGCCCACCGTGAATCGTGCCGCCGTGGTTACGTAATATGTCACGGCAGCAGTTCTGTGGAGAACAGTGAGCAGGAGCACAGCTTGGACTAAGTATTTTGAAATGTTGAAATATACGTTTGGTATACACCCGCTCTGCTCACTGTGGACGCTTTGAGGAGGAATGAAAAAGACATTTTTGTACGGTTCAAGTCCACAGTTTTAAAACGTATTATTTGGGAATATTCAGTAGATGACAAAACTACGAGATATATAAGAAAAAAGGAGAATTACTTGGGCTTTCAAGTAACGGAAAATTGAATAGCAGAAAAAAAAAATTATTTATCGAAGTAGCAGCACGTTTCTACCTCGTCAATCGCAAGACTGTTTATATAGCAAATCATTTCATAGTTTTTATTTATAGTGCCGTAAAATAGGTAAGACTTACGGTCTAAATTCTTGCAGCTACGCATTTTTTATCTTTCATTTGCCAGTAGACACGCTTTCTCACTGTCTACGACTGATTACAAAGCGGCAAGACATCGTTGTTTTGTTCGAGAATGCGGTTACTAAATGGTGCTGGAACAATTTGAAGACGTAGTTTCAAATTATAGGCTTCGCAGTTAACATCTTTCTAAAACAGAGGCTAAAGGCGTAGTCGAAAATGGCCCCATTTTTTGCCCAGAGGGGATTTTACCATCGGCAATGGGTCCTGGAAGTAGGTGTCACAGAGCATGCCCGTACATTCTCAAATCTCGTAGTCCACGCTTGTAGCATGGAAGTATTTTGCCTCAAACTCTTGTAGCAAAACGAGTAAAAACTCAATTTGAATAGGTGTGTTTTACCCTAAATCTTGCCAATGTGCCGGCGCTGAAGAGTATGGTTTTTTAGCGCTTTTGGTCAGAAAGTGGGTATATACTTAAACTGTATGGATCTGAAATAGGAGTAACGTTTTGTTCTCTCTGAAACCAGGGTCTGAAACCAATCGTCCCTTGAGAACACGTAACACCTGTTCAGGTCTGAAACTTGAATGTTCCCAAAATGTCCAAGAGTACCTCCCGGACCTAAAGGGCCTCAGGAGATTGTTACGTTCATATTGCTAAATTCTCTTCATGCACGTTCCCTATGCATGCTTACCGATCTCGTTCTCATCTTCGAGTCGACGTCAAGACTCTGGATGACTTATAAAGAGCACAGGGACCAGCTGAGAGTAGTTTTCAGTGTTTCTCGTGCTACTCGGACAACCTATATCAACACCATTCGACGATAATCCAACCAGACTTGTAACACGGTCGCCTTCTGAATCGGATGACGCTACGCTCGGTCTTCTGTACAGCTACAATCGCACCACGATAAAACTGGAATCAAGGTCAAACATGACGTCGAACATGACAAAACCAATAGAGACTACTGTTATTTAAGCGCGATAGTCATTACGAACAAAAAAGACCATGGCTGGCTAGATGAAAGGTGGTCAGTTAATTTCATTAAAAGACATGATTCAGCGGGAATAGACCTGACATTTTTGTGTGTTCATGGTTGATTAAAGACATGTAACGTAATAAAATAAACCTGTGAGTTCGTGGAGAAACACCTTTGGGGCCATTTGCGTAAAATCTTCTCTTCGGGCGTGGCGACTTAAGTCTGACGTTTAGCCCAGTGAACTGACCCCAGACTCCTTTTGGGGAGGAGCGTTGTGCGACGAGACAAAAACGCCGGCGAGGAAGACTAAAGGCGCTTTGAAAAAGTCAGAACTGCCAGACCTGTCATTTTGAAAATAAAATGTTTGTCTTTTCTTATAATAATAATTTACTAAAATCCAACACTGCCATGCATACCATTTAGGAATAAACTGACTGGATAGTCCTGATTAATAGTGGAATTTTCTTTACAACTTGACAAGTCTAGCCAGTCAGTTCTAAGAAATGGTAAGAGCAACTGGTGTAACTAGCTTGAGGGCTCTGGCTAAGGGGGAAAAAAAAGGGAAGTTCCTGAGGCGTGACTGCAAGCTCTCTTTTCATTCTTTTGCCCCCCCCCCCTCCCCCTTCCCCCTTCCCCCCGAGCACCCAGAGAACACGTTCACATCGTACGAAATCGAGCTTTCCGAACGCCTAAAAATTGTGCTCCTGGAAAGACAGTTGAAACGAAGTTCCAGGACTGACGATTTATGACAGGCTGAAAATTGGCCTTAAGTAGTTTCATCCCTTATCTCATATCTTAGCTGCTGTTATTCGTCCACAGTCATTACCTTTAGCGGTTTCCCGGAGCATTGGATAATATTCAATTCACCAGGTTTATAAGACTGAATGACGGTTTGTTCGATTCAACCGTATAAAAACAAAGGCGATGCCCGGTATCAGTGTATAAGCCGTAAAATTTGACTACAATCAACAATCAAGGTCACAATTAACTGCTCTGCGCTCTGTGGTTTTAGAGGCTTGGTCGTAGCGTAAAAGCCCTTTACCGTATTTCAGTATTTTCAGTTTTGTTTTTAAAACGTTAGGAACTCTTGAAAAAGCTCTGAAAAGCCTGTGTGGGAGGCTATCAAAGTATCAATTCATTTCAATTAAAATCTTTATTTCACACTATAAAAGACATTTACATAAGTGTACGTAGGTAGGAAAATAAAATAGCTGACAAATAATAATTAACTAAAAGACATTAAGTTCATTTGTGTAGTGTCCAAAGTAGCAAGATCTGCCCGCAGCACTTGACCGCAGTCCTTCGGGGACCAGTACAGTGGAACCTTGATATAACGAACTCTATAGAACGATGTCCTCGGTATGACGAACGATTTTCTTTACCCCAGTAAGAGTAAAATATATGGAAAAGAACCTCGATATAACGAAACCTCGGCATAGCGAACAAATTTTCCAAGTCCCTTGGCCCTTCGTTATATCAAGGTGCCACTGTACTATACATATTACGTAAATAGAAAATTTCGCTACTCGTACAATTGTTTGTTATGCAACGGAAATACGTCTGCGTTTGCAGGCTGGAAACAAAGCGACGTCTCAAAAACTTTGCATTGGTCTCCACGAAGACACACGCGGTAAAGTAAACAAAACTGACAGTAAATCTAAACCCACTGCTGTTTATGGAAATTGAACCCATTCATAAGATAAATCAAATTGCAGCCGGCAAGGGGAAACGAAAACAAACTGCTCACCAGCTTAGTTTAAACCTTGTTGAAAGTAGGAAGTTGGAAGTATTAACTAAGATGTAAACAGAACTTGAAAGTCCTGCTTTCCCCAGCACGTATATAAACAGATTTAAGGAGCTAATGTCACTGAAACCGATCTTTCGGACTTCCTGTGGAGTCAGTCTCCGGCAAGTCAACTGTAGGAGATTCGCAGTGCAGATCGAAGGTACGTCAGGCTTGTACATCCTGTAGTTTCTTTTTCGTTTACATTTGACAGCAAGAAATGTCGTATTCGTTTTTTGTAAGTTAGAGCCTTTTTATTTGAAGTGCGTCAGGTCTGTTGCGAAAACGAAGACCTAAGACCTGAAAGCCCAGACCAGAAAACAAAGACCCTAAAACGAAGACCACCGCAAATTGGGGGTACCCGAAAACGCAGACCCAAAGACGAAGACCCCCTTTTTTCTTCCCCTTCACTAGTTTCTATTTTATTTTTTCGCAACAATCTTAGTTCATTACTGTTTAGGCGACAGTTTTTCACTCTTTGCTTGAAGATGATAGTAAAGAGCCTGGAATTGTTTCGTTAAAAATTTAGAAATTATCGGGAAACCAGAATTTCAGGCGCGGTTAGTTCTTAGCTTGTTCGTACTTTTCGGCCAGCCTTACAGTGAGAGTTCTTTTATTGTTATATCAAAAGTTTGATGATATCTTGAAAAAGCGTGTACCGAATGTTATCGAGGGTCCTTTTTAGTCAAGTGATAAAACTTTTCTTTATCTGCGTAGGCTGCGGTTGTAAGTAAATAGGGCAAAATGATTCCAGTGTTAGTGATCGAAGCTTTTTAGGCGCCATGTGGCCCTTTCTCGTTTAATTACTCATTCCTCAGGAACAAAAACACACGGGCTGAGCGAAGTTCTTAGGACCATCCCGGTCTCTGAAATGTACCTACCTAAAAACTTGTGGTCACTTGTTGCTCTTTCATCACCATCTCCCCAAAAGTTTTGGCGCAAAAATTTTGACCGTTACTTTGTATTCAGTTATACGTCACGTGACGAAAATTGGAAATTCTGAAACGTCGCATGTTGCCGACGAATTCTTTATAATAC